CACTCTTTCCAGAGTCTCCACATCTTTTTTACATAGATTTGGACAGTGAGGAGGTTGGGGAGGAACCTGGGCCAGTCCTGGAGTCTGGGGAAGGCTCTGATGAGGCCTCTGTGTCGGAGGCAGAGAGGGGGCCAGGGCCTTAATGTCAGTTATCGGCTGCCTTCAGAGTCAGACATCAGTGGGGCAGAAGAACAGCTGGAGCCTGTTCCCAGTGTGCGCAGGCGCAGAGTGGCCAGACGAAGGGAAGAGCTAAAGAACAGGGGTCGACTTGGGAGTAAGGCCAATGAATGGCCCCTCCCAGAGGAAATAAAAGAGGAGCGAAAGGGGAGTGGAGTTTGCAGGAGACAATGAGTTCACTTATAGTAAATAAATCAAAGGGTTTTTTGTCGGGACCAGGAGTTCGCTTCATGCTCTTTGGAAGCCTCGGCCAGAACAGTCAACACTACTGGAGCATAACTTACTGTTGTGTGGCTTCTACATCTGTGACACAAACATGCTGTTGTTCAGTTCATCGACCGATAACTGGGAGATCTGCAGTAAAACAAAGAGGAAAGGAAGGGCATTAAAATGTCCCCCGGAGGGTTAACTTAACTCTCCACTAAGTTCCAATTCCCATCCAGAATTCTAAGGCAGGTCGCTTGGGGGTGGTGGGGTGTAAGCAATCCTGCGGGGGTGGGGGTTTAGGGTCACGGTGCTAATCCTCTCCTTTGCAACGACACCACGACGTCATTTGTGCAGTGGCACCCTAATTCACGTGGTATCCCTCTGACCTCACGGCCACGTCTCCTCTGCCCTCAAGGATTCACGCACAACCCGCTGGCTGAGATGGCTGGGAAAGGGAGGGCTGGTGGGCCCTTGGGATCGGACCACCCTCCCTTGAAGGAGGCACCCCCTGACAGCGCCCCTCAACTACGTCCGCTTTGAAGATATGGGGACTTTATCTCCCAGAATTCACCAGCTTAGCCACGCGGGCTGCGGAATTCTGGGAGCGGAGGTCCCCCCTCCTCTTCCACGGGGTTGAAGTTGACAAAGGCTGCTCTGCTTAGGCAACGTTAATGGTGCAAGTGAGCCATCGGGTAATTTCAGGAACATTCAATACAGAAATTACCCCCCGTTGCAAGCGGATTGAAAGGGATCCCTCCAGGGGTGAAATCCTCCCAGTTCGGCTGAATCGGTAGTTAACATTAAAAAAAAAAAAAAAAAAGCTTCCGAGGATCACGGAAGATTTTCTCCCGCTTTTTAAAGCATTTAAAAAGCTTTTTTTAAAAAAAGCTGGAAGTGAATAGCAATAGCAATAGCAGTAGACTTATATACCGCTTCATAGGGCTTTCAGCCCTCTCTAAGCGGTTTACAGAGAGTCAGCATATTGCCCCCAACAATCTGGGTCCTCATTTTACCCACCTCGGAAGGATGGAAGGCTGAGTCAACCCTGAGCTGGTGAGATTTGAACCGCTGAACTGCTGATCTAGCAGTAGCCTGCAGTGCTGCATTTAACCACTGTGCCACCTCGGCTCTTTTTAAAACAAGTGAAAACAAGTTGGCCACGCCCAACTAGTCACATGACACATCTGCCCAGCCACGCCCACAGAACTGGTGAAGGGGGGGGGAGAGAAATAGATTTCACCACTGGGTCCCTCTTCCAGATCCCAACTGATCTCTAGATTCCCAGGAAAGGTCATAGAGAGCTTTGCTCACACCTTCACAGCACCACCAAGGGCCAGCAAAGGTGTAATTTAAATGAGTTGAAAACAGGGGAGGGGGCTTTCGTGGATTTAGCCTTGTTCCCTTTCGCTCCCATGAAAACATGACAACATCACAGCAACCACTCCGGGACAGCTGGCTATGGGGTTGGTGGGCTGATCTTTCTCCATCCATATATTTTGCAGAGCCCCAAGTTCAGTGCTCGGCATCTCTTGCCTCCTTCAGGTTAATTCTTACAAGAGAGTTATTCGGTCCCCCCCTCCCCCAGAAAAGGCCTGGAAGGAGCCCCCCCCTCCCCCCTATTGCAAGACTGGCACCCCAAGGGCAGAGCAACCGGCTGGGAAAGGCCAGAAGGAGCCCGCTGTGTTTTTTTAAAAAAAAGAGATGACCAGGGAAACAAGAGTTTGTGGCTTTTTCTCTCTGTCTCATAACTCCATTTCCTTCGGGGGGGGGGAGGAGGAAGGGAGAGAGAGGGAGGACTCCAGCCTCAATTGATGAGCTGGCAGGAATCTCTTCTCCTCTTCAAATTTGACAGCCCTCTCCCTCCCCAATTATAAACAGGCCCCCCCAAATGGGCTGAACAGCTTCTCTTAGGCTGCCAGTTGTGGGAGCTGCTGCCCCAGCACATCTGGAGGGAAGAGGCTGGTGTGGAAGTGGGATGCTTCTGTGTCCCTTGCTTCAAAACTGACCCCACCTAGAGCCACGAAGAAGGCCTGTGCCCCATGGCAGACCCATAGCATCTCTGAGGACCTGATCTCCTTTCTACTCAGGGCTCATAAACAGAGAGAGAGTGTGTGCAGGAAGGTTTGGGGAACCCAGTGCACCCTTCCTTTGCTAAAGAGGGGCCCCTGTGAATGGTCACCAATGCCCCCAACATGCCAGGGGGCAGAAAGTTTCCAGACCAGTCCTGCGGCCTTCAAAGGGAGCATCAGGACGAACAACCCCTGACCGAGATGGGTTTGGTCCACACCCTCATTGTCCCCCCATCTCTACGTGACCCCTGCCGGAACCTGCCAGCCCCCACGCGGGATGTGGGCCAGCTCCTCCGACCCCCAAGAAAGAAAGCCATCGAAAGGGAGGGGGGCAAACCTGATTGGCTGTTGCAGTTGCAGCGAAAGGAACGCTGGTGGCGGGTGTAGATGCTGCAGAAACAGTGGTGGGCGTAGCACCGTGCATCATGGGAACTTTTCGGTAGAGGACCACATGGAAGCAACAAAACAGGAGGGTGGTGCGTTTATGGAACGCGGTGGTGGTGGTGGTGAGGAGGAGGAGGAGTCACAGCGACAAGCCCCGGTGAACGTCATGGAGGGAGACACACCGGGAGGCGGCATGCAAATCACAGAGCAAAGCAAAAAACAGCATCCGGGGGTGGGGGAGGGGAAGAGAACAAGAAAATAATAAAGAGGAAAAAAAGGGGAAAAAGCCAATTACAATTATAATTAAGGAAAAGAAAAAAAAACCAAAATATTTCTCAACACTCAGTAAAAAACATTTATAAGCGGAACAATGATGTATATAGAAGACTCTGGAAGGAGGAGGGGGGGGGGCGTGGTGATAAAAACTTCCAGAGATGGGCGGAGAAGGAACAAGTAATCAAACCACGTTTTCTCAAAGGGGGGGGCAAGATGAGGGGCTCTGTGGTCCGCAACCAATGAGGAGAAATGGGAATGACTGGCACTCCACCCAGCCTTGAAAGTCAGCAGTGAACAGTTGATTTGTGAGTAAGGGTCCCTTGGTCGCCCCGCCCCCTCCGCTTACTCCCTTGGGGGTCCTTTCCAGCTGCCCCATTAAACCCCAGGCACGACTTCCGCTGGTTCTGTCACAAGGGCGCTGTGGGGTGAGGATGCCTCCCTTTGCAGCTGACCCTGCCCAGTTTCCCTGGGCCCACCCTAATTTCTCCCAGAAGCAGAATATAGGAAGGGAGGGGAGAAACCCCCCCCCCCCCAAATATCTGTAACGTCTAACATCTTTAGAAAAGAACCAAAATAATAGGGAGCGAAGTAGCGAAAAAAATCAGGACACCTCAAGCTTTAGAGCCTAAAACTCTAAATCAGGAGTGTCCAAATTTTTGGGAACTTTTAAGACTTGTGGACTTCAACTCCCAGAATTCCCCAGCCAGCCATGCATGGCTGGCTGGGGAATTCTGGGAGTTGAAGTCCACAAGTCTTAAAAGTTCCCAAGTTTGGACGCCCCTGCTCTAAATGGAGGCTGGGCCTTCTGGAACGGCATTTTCACCAAATTACTACTTATCCCAGGTTAGGTTGGAGGGACATTAACAGCCCCTAAACCCCTTGGAACTGATCTCCAAGGAGTTTGTATTTTTTTAGCAAGGGCAAAATCGTGGCCGGTTCAATCCACTAAGGTGCCTCTTGTGGCCTGGAAGGAGAAAGCGCCGTCCAGTGACCCAAATTGACATTCTCTGTTGACCTTGTCGGTCAACTTCCACAGCCCTCCTTCTGTTCTCCTCCCGCATCAAGGTTGGTCAAGGGGAAACAAAACACTCAGGGGGGAGAGGGGGGGGAAACAATCACGTCTGCACTAAAAGCAAACAGACCGACACGAAGGAAACATGAGCCGTGTTCTCCAAAGGTGAGCTCTCCCTCCCAGAGCCAGCAGAAGTGCTGATAAATCCATCCCTTCTGCAGGCTGACTTCCTCGGGCACCGATACCGCCACATGACTTCCCAGCAAGCAAGTGGGATAAGGGTGGACAGGAGTGGGAATACGTCCCGGAATCCTAAATGATCAAATCACCCCCAAAGGTGAATATAAAAGAATATAAAAGGTCCCTGCTCTGAACACCCCTTTGGTTAGCAGAGTTTTTCCCTTTTTTTAATGTACTGCTCCTTCTTTCTGGATTAAGAAACAGGCCGGCTTTCT